CCTGTGCTTGGCACAAAGGGCAGGTGTAATGCCTTGGCCTGTCTTGCCACCTGGTCACTTTGCGCGGCTCGCGTGATGGCAAAGTCAATTTGACTGTGGCCTTTGGCTGTGGCCGGCCAGTACGTGCTTGCCCTGAGGCCTCCCCTGGACCAGGTATTGAGGGCAACCAAATGGTGGTTACGTAGAAGATCCTGAAGCATATGGCTATCAGAGGCATGGGTGGAGGCATTCCGACAAATACCACGTCCAACCATAGAACCCTCAGTGACCAACCTAGTGTTACAGTCTCCTAGAATTAACAGCTGATTGCGCCTCGGCAAGTGACTGACCAGGGCCCCTAGCTTGGCCCAGAGCTCAGCGCGACGCTCCAACACAGATTCCTGCTTTCGGGCATCTCGGGCAGCCACACGAGCAGCGCTCCATGCATGTTGATAGACTAGTAAGATATCCAAGCACGGTTCTGCTTCAATACGAATGTGCATGAGCCTTCCCTGTATGATCTCTTGATGCTGTATGGTGTGCATGGGGAACTTACGTGTGTTTATTAATGCCAGGAGGCCTGCGTCAGCTTTTGTGGCTCCACTATGAATGGCCAGGAAGCGACCTGTTCGATATTCCAGCGGGCCTCGCCAATGTGTTTCTTGCACCGCGATAATGTCCGTAGCTAAACCCTGCTCACTGTTAAGCCAGGTTAGAAGCTCGGTGTGTCTGTCGGCAGAGAGACTACTGGCGTTCCAGGACAAATACGTCATTCTACTTCTGTCTATAGGGGGTTTGTTGCGGGGAGCTTTGGGTAAAGTCTGGGTAGGCGTGACTCCAATTTGCGCTGCCGAAACCCAGCGGCCCCTATACATGGCTCCACCTTGGCGTTCAGCCCTGCGCTGTGCCCTGAGGAAGGCACGCTTTTGCGTCCGATGCGGGAGCACCGGTGATTGAAAAACACCGTCGTGGTTTGACACACCACAAAGTCGTGTATGGCCGGCTGTCACGACTTCAGGAGGTTCCAGGTGGGGAGAGCCTCCAACCCTCACGTCAGTAGTCTGAGGTACAGCTAGAATAGGCTGAATTAGAACCAGAAGAAACAGTTTAAGAACAATACTGATGGAAAGGTTAGCTTTCAGACTACCCCGGGACTTGGGACCCGGGTGGCCCTGCTTAGGGTGCTGGCGGGGGGACGGTCGGCTATACGATTGCTGCAGTGTCTGGA